TAATGTTTTTTGTAATACAAGAGTGGAGTGCAAAACATTATTTTAGTAACTCAAAATATCAATTTGATACGACACTCAATATATAGTAATTTTAATATGAATCTTATATATATATTAATATGAATCGTATATTAAATAAATGAATCAATACGATAATGTCCATTAAAGACATTGTTAGTTCCTACTTTTGGAAGTTATCGTAACTGCAAGACCACAAAAAATGTGGTGATCGACTATCATTTGATCGTCTGGCTAAAATGATTTTTACAATAAAACTGACCTCAAACTAACTGCTTAGTTATAGTAATTTTAGTTACTTCACTACACCAAGCGATGATTTATTATTTTTAAAATAATTTAACATTAAAATGTAAAGCTTAGAACACCCAGTACATAACTTACTGTGCACCTAGGGTATACGAAAAGTATATATATAATATATACTCAGACTATATATATATTTATACACATATAGTTTTCTTATATATAGTCTTCTTAGTATTAGTATGATTGAAAGTAATATGACTTAATAAACAAATATTTCTTTGACTTCTATCCGATGCCTCATCATTAGCGTTATTTTTTGACAACCACGACCACTGCCATCTTTAAGATCGGTACTGAATTCTAATGCGAGTACTAATGTAATGCAATACATCAATGTATAGTCTTCTTAGTCTTAGTATGATTGAAAGTAATAAGACTTAATAAAGAAATATTTCTTTGACTTCTATCCGGCGCCCCTTCATTAGCGTTATTTTTTGACAACCACAACCACTTCCATCTTTAAGATCGGTACTGAATTCTAATGCGAGTACTAATGTCATGCAATACATCAATGTATAGTCTTCTTAGTCTTAGTATGATTGAAAGTAATAAAACTTAATAAAGAAATATTTCTTTGACTTCTATCTGATGTCTTATCATTAGCGTTACTTTTTGACAACCACAACCACTTCCATCTTTAAGATCGGTACTAGATTCTAATGCAAGTACTAATGCAATGCAGAAAAACATAAAAGTTATTAAAAATTAAAAAAAAACTTATTGGGAAATAAGTCATTTTTCTGTTTTCATCAACAATAAAGAATACAATAAACTCAATTAGTAATCTAAGTCGGGGTTCGATTCTTTAATAATAGAGAAATCAAGAAATTCATTTAAAAAATTATTGACATTAACTAAATTGATGAACTCACTTACACATGCACACATCCTGCCATAAGTATCTGTTGAGATTCTTGATATCAGTGGGTTGATTTGTTTCTTTTGCATGAATTATGATTAAATGGACACAAGAGAAGGCGCAAAGTAAGCCAATGAGTGGTCTTCTAATTGCACTGCATCAAAATGAATATTACTACGAATCAATATTGAATTGAATTGCAGATGACCAATATGGACACACATAGACACTCCAACCCATATACAATGGACTATACATTTACCCGACCAAAGAAGTGAATACCATAGACTAATTTCACTGCTTCAGCTAATCTGAATTTATGTACACAATTGATTTAGTCGATGGAAAATTTGCAGTTGTTTTAGGGCAAATGGGAATTGCCGCATATGATTTTGGCTTTCTTGAGAGATTTGATCCATCAATTTATCCATCAATGCATGTCTGTTCGATAGTCTGTCCAACCGTCTCTTTATTGGCATCCATGTCGGTATGATTGTGTATTGTTATTACATACATACATACATATATACATACATACATATACATAAGTGCCTCGTATGTGTTTCGATGTATGGTTGTATGTACTTGTACACATTTTTGGAAATATTATATGCTCATACCTCCGTTTCATATAAATTGTGTAAATATTTACCATCGTAAGTGGATTGGAGATGGATGAGTTTATCATCATCATCGCCATCATAATCATCGTCGTAGTCGTCGTCGTCGTCATCATCGTCATTATCATATGCCGATATAGTACATTTCGCACTCACACAGATACTCACACACATCTGCATACTTCGTTCGCTGTGGTGCTCTGCTATGTTTGTAGTTCGGTGCGTAGTTGCTCCTTTGTTTCAAAGCGTTTGCCTCCGTCGAAGTCATTGTTTTTGTTGCCTTTGTGAACGAATCCATAAAATTTTTTCGGTTCTTTTTATCTCTGAGGAAAATTTCATTTGGCGCATAATTTGAAACTTTCTGTGGATTGCTTGTTTGGTGGTTTATTTGTCAATTACTCTAATGCGATTTAATGTTATCAATTTTATTTCTTATTTACTTCCTATTTCGATGTACAAAAATAAATTCCATCTTAAACTGACGCTATCGGACTGGCAACTACAACATTCAAAGAAATTTTCTTTAATTTACTATATATTAATTTAATTAATTTCATAAAATAAATCTAATTAATCGTGCAAGAATTTCAAGATAAATGGATATTTAAAGGAACTGAGATTTTTCTGTATTTATTGAAGCATTTCATTAAAATGTACTTAACTCTAATTTTATTACAGCATATATTATAGAAATAATAATTTAATAACTGAAGAGAAAAGCATTTTAAATATTGATTATTTTAAGTAAGGCCTACTCCTCAGTACCTGTTATATCCTTGAGGTCTCTAAGTCGAATTCAAATATATCCGAGCTAAAACATTCTGGTGACTTCCTATAGATGTGAACGATCTTATGAGTCCTGAAATCGTAAAATTTTACATCAAAGTCTATTAGTCAAAACCTGATATATCGTTGAAATCCCTACAATATCTGAACTACAATATTCAGAATATAATATTTACATGACTTCTCCGTAGTTTAGGAATATTTTGTGAGTCCTGTAATCTTAAAATCTTACAACAAAAACTTTTCGTTTGAACCTAATATATTATCGAGTTACCTAAATCGAGTTCCAATGTACCTAAACTAAAAGGTTTTGGTGACTTCTCTGTAAATATAAAGTATTTTATGAATCCTGTACTTTCAAAATTGTGCAACAATGACTATATTTTTAAACCTAATATGTCTTCGAAGTTTCTTACTACAATGCAAATATGTCTAAGCTAGAACATTTGGGTACAGAGCCAAAACAGTCTAAGAACTTCTTACCATACTGACTAAGCTTCTGTCCTCTACACCCTAATGCAAATATTACAAGTTGTTCCTTTTAGTCATTTTTTTAGGTTACACATATTAGAAATCTAAGGTACCATCAAAATTAAACAGGACTTTTCAAAACTAGATTTATAAAGCAAAACCATCTGATGTATATTATATTATATTATTATATGTATATTATATTATATTATATTAATATTATAAGACGCTAATGTAAACTTCTACCTGTTTTCACTTTGTATCTTTTTAGAAAAATACATTTTTCAATGGCCGAAAAGCAATCCAAAGACATTGAAGACATCCCTAAGACGTTGACCGAAAAGCAATCCAAAGACGTTGAAGACATCCCTAAGGCTTAAACTGACAACCTAAAGAACATTACGACCTATAATCAGAAATGGTCATTTGTCTGGCTTTTAGTCCATTATACTTTCCGTATCGAGTCAGAATGGGTCTATTAAAATGAAATAAATTGATATTGCCAAAAGAAATTCTGTTATATTATACGGGTATATAAGAAAACCTACTTTGCAATGCACCTTTAAAATTTTTTTTTTTTTTTAAATCACCTTTATTGTATATAATATATTTAATAACAAATTACCTTATTAAACAGTGGACTAAATTTTTTTAATGATACTATACATTAACACTTTTCATATGTTTATATCTTTAACAAAAGACTCGGTTGCATATTTCTAATATTTGTTTGCCTTATACATTATTTTACTTCATATATGTTAATAATGATATGACACAAACAATTTCAATCAATTTCATACAGATTGTTTTATTACAAATCATTTATTTTCCTTTCTAATATAAAAGTTTTTAATGAACTATTTCTTCCATTTTCAATGTGTTCCATTTTTTCTAATCTAATACGATGGCTTACATGCCTTTTCGCGTTATTCGTATACTGACCACTACGTTCGTTTTGGGAACCCATCTATTCTGAACAACGCTAGTCAGTGGTATCACAACAAGCCATTATTTGAGCTTAAGTGAGCTTTAGCCACAAGACCGTGGGTAAACCATTTTAATTAATTGGTGGTCAATAGATTTAATATAATATAAATAAAATATAAAAACATTAAAATAATTTTATGCTGAAGGTCTTTGATGCTCGGGCTTATTATAATATAGTTAAAAATTTTAATTTTAAGTTTAAGTAAACTTTATGCATTCAAGTATTATCTTCTTCTTAATTTCCTTTATCTCCTTGTAGAGCTTAGGGCCTCAGTTACGCATTTCCATTTCGTCCGCTTCAATCATTATAGCTAAAATGAAATTTTTAATATTAAAAATTTCTTTAGGCTTATACCAAATATTTAAATTTTTAGTGGAAACTGGCATAATAAAAATTTTATGATAGAAAGCGCTTTAACTTAGACAACAACCTATTTTGCTATAAATTGCTCTAATAGTATTTATACCAGTAGTACTTTTTACCTGGTATTTTTTTACTTTTTATTTATTTTCTAATTTTTTTTACTTCCCATCTTCCAACAAAAGCAGGGACATTTTTATACCAAATTTTCTCTTGTGCTGAGTGGTATAATACTATAAAATATTAAAGACAAAAACCACGAGTGTGTATAAATGAGTATTTGGTATAAAATATGAAATAAGATTTTAAATATGCATTGAACACTTTTATTTACAAATACAAACTTTTCACATTTTATTTAATATTAAATAAAATAAGAGTTTTGAAATTCTTAAATAATAGTTAAGACTAAACAGTATCCAATAAAAATTTAAACTAAGTATGACTAAATATATATAGTATAATAATAGTATATAATAATATACTAAATATGAGAGAAATCGTAAAAGGCATGACTTAATTAAATTTCTTTACCGCTTTGACCAAACCAAAATATTTTACTTAATGCAAAAATTAAGTTTTCAATATTTATTATAAACTTAAATATAACTTTAAAATGAAATTTATCATATAAACTTTATCATTTATGGTAATAATAAAATGGTAATAATAAGAAAAAAAAACAATTAATATCTATCACAGGCATCAAAATGATTAAAATTAAGACTAAAATTGCTGACAAAATTGCTTATACGCGAGCATTATTGCCAGCGACTCTTTGCGAAGAGTTTCTGTGAGATGAAGGCAGCGCTATAGGAACTTGATATGCTCTATTGCCACCGCTCAAGTATCCGACACTCAAGCAACACTCAATTTTGTGACATATTCACTTCCCATAATTTCATGTGGTTGTCGAGCACCTCGTGAAACCAATTTTGTTTCTCTGGCTCATCTCGAAAAATAATGTTCAGTGCTTTCAGATCCAACTTGAGTATGGCATCATTGCCGAGCAGACTATCGAGTGAGCGAAGCAGTGTAGCATTCCCATGTAGCTTCAGTAGTGTGACGAATTTCACGACATAGTACTCATACTGCAGCTTACGACGCGCCCAACGTTCGACCGTTGCATTTGCGCTAGCGGATCTAATTTGACCCAAATGCTCCGCAAACCAAGGTGTGAAGAAATTGTAGAGATCCGCTTTAGAAAAACTGCTATTGTCCTTTGACTTCATACGCTCTTTTATCATTTGGTAATTCTTCCGATTATAGACAAAAATCTGTTATAAGAATGAAGTTGCTTTATACTTTATATTCTGTGAGTGTAATGTGAGTGAGTGTACCTGATATAAGGAATTACCAGTTGTGTATGAGTTTATATAGTGTGTACCGTAAGCTTCCATAAATTTAATTGCAGCAGTTACGTTGCCTAAGAATTGGTAATCATTTTTATGTTAAAAGTTAAGAGTTTCTTGAGATTAGGTTATTTTACCTGGTTTTAATTTACTTATGCTTTCACTGACATCTGTCTCAAGTTTTAAGTCTGGTGGTATTTCCGATTTAAGTTTACCTGTTTCACGAAAACGTACCACTCGTACTAACACATAGGAATAATCACCCTGTATGAACGAAGTATTTATGCCCAATTTTTTAGCTGCATTATCGGGAAACCAGCCACCTGTAAATGCTTCCCATGGCTTATCCAAGTGCTCAATGGTGAAATCACGAAAATATGCTTGAAAAAGCTGACGACGATTATCACAAAATTCCAAATGAAAATCGCCATGAAATACTCCAGGCGCATTCTGCTCTTCACTCACAGTTAATGCACTGATATTCTAAAAAAAATAATTTAAGAATTGGAAAATTCTATTGATGTATAATATAATAATCAATAATTTCTTATTAACCCACCTTATATATATTTTTGGTGGGCTCCCTAAATAGCCACTTGTCTGTCTCGTAACTATCGTTATAGGGCACGACCCGCATTGAAATGCCCAGGTAGCCATAGCGTACGAATACATTTATTGCTTTACCAATTCTCAACTGAGACTCGCGTCCTGCACCACAGCTAAAGTTGCACATTAAAGTAAACAGTGCCAGCCCAAAGACCCCATACCTAGGGTTCATCGCTCATACACGAGTACAACTTGCAGCAACGTCATTCAACTAGAACGGTTAGTTAAACATTACATTATATAAAACAACAAATTAATAAAAAATAATTATTAACAAAAAGTAATAATTAATAAAATTATTTTATTTTATTTTAATTACAAATTATCATGTAATTTGCCTCGGGAAGCACATCTTGATTTTTCTTTGTATTTTACTTGATTTATCAGTATTTTTTTCTCGGTTTTTTTTTTACAAAGATTATATATGAACAATTAATAATGATGATGTTCATTATTAGATTTAAATTATGTTCTAAGAACGCGTTTCGGTTATTTTTAGCTTTTATTACCGACAGCTTCCAAGTAAATCTTTGAGGTTTCGATAAGTCAGTCGGTCAATGTTTTTACATCGCTGGTCGCACATATGAGAGGTTCTACGTTGCACGTGTAAGAATTTTTATTGAAAAATATGAGAACGAAGTGAACTTCACTTAATCAAAAAATTGTATAAAAAATGTATAGTAACAGATAGTTTATGAAAAAAAAAAAATAAATAAAAACAATAAAAACACAATATACACATATAAAATAAAAACACATTTCATAGTTTCATGTCTCAATTATAATTTTCGCTTTCGCAGTCATTTTTGTTAAATTTTATATAAAATATGTTATTTTATATTACAAAGTTATGTACCTCTATCCTCTCGAGTAAGTATCTATCACTTCTATCCTAAGATCATCTATAAATTAAGTTCCATGCATTATCTCATATTTACTTAATCTCTATCTCTTTCTTTCTGTAACTACACCAGAAGGTAGTAGTAGTTGAGGTGGCAGGAAAATCATATCCCTGTTTGACATCACACTCCTTCTAAATATAAATACTAAGATAAATACTATCAACAAATCCTGCATAACTACCCAAAGATGGTACAATAAGCAGACTTGTCTAACTATACGTTTGACATGATGCGTCTATGATCCGAAAATAACTGAACAACTGTTGTCTTATTTGTCAATCGTTGTCCAACACACTTGCCGTACTGATGCCCAACTATCTCATTAGTTGACATGCCAACTGAGTTAGGATTACCTTCCACACTCCATCAAAAAAAATATGAAAGTGAATGTCACTGCGTCACTATCACTGCGCGATAAAACAACAAAGTTCAGTGAAATAGCATTTAATACGACTTGAGACTAGAGCTTAGAATGAAAATTCATTATGATATCAAAATCAAAATCAAATCTAGTTTTGTTATAACATATTGGATAAGGTTCATAATAACATTAAAAACTTTCTGAAAATAAGTTGACAAAAGATAACAAACATCTGAACTATTGAATGCCCACATAAGTCTATAATTAATAATCTCATCGTATTCTTATGATAAAGTTCCTCATATTTTTAAGGTTTAAGTCCATGGATATGAACTAAAATGTACCAACTAATCCAACTTGAGATAACTTAAATTTTTTTTTATAATACAGATACATAAATATTACTCTAGAAAAAATCCTTCGTGATATCCATGGACTATATGTGATTGTTAGCGATGGCTCCCTTTCTTTTTTTTCTGAGAGTTAGTGTCTAAAGCGTTTTTACTCAATAGTTTCTCTGACCACTTGGGTGATCCACTATAACAAGTATTTGATTGAATTTTCTAGAAAAAATCCTTCGTGATATCTATGGACTATATATGATTGTTAGCGATGGCTTCCTTTCTTTTTTTTCTGAGAGTTAGTGTCTAAAGCGTTTTTACTCAATAGTTTCTGTGACCACTTGGGTGATCCACTATAACAAGTATTTGATTGAATTATGATGAGTTATTTGTGTGATTTTACAGAAGTGTACTTTGAATACAGGCATATTTTCATGATGAAATATATATTGCATTTGTTTTAAGTGAGTGCAAATCTAAATCAGTTTGAGCAACGACACAATTAGTCTGTCTTTGATATATTCTCATATCGTTGTGTATTAACGTCAAGCATATTAAATTTTTAAACTCATATCATAAGATTGAACGAAAAAGTTCCAGTAAGAATCCTTCTTCTTCTACAGAAGAATTAGGTGCTATAAAGCAAACAAAAGCCAAGCCTGCTGGAATACGTTCTGCTTAAAAAGCACTTAAAATAATGTTAATAAAATTTAAATTTAGTCAAATATTATTTTCCAAATAATATCCATTTAGAGTTAGTTAACTATAACTTAACTATAACTATAAGTATTGGTATGACTAGTTGATTGATTGATTTTTTCGCAACCGTCACCTAAGTCACCATTATTCACATGCTTTAAATGATGAATTTGAATCGGAAATTAAAAAAAGTTATATCAATATATAATTAACCTCAGAAATAATATTCGAGTTATAAATGATAAAAATAATTGTAGAGGCAAAGAACTTTATTCCATCATTTGATCTATAATGATTAAATTGCATATTCTAACAAGTACTTGAAATGACATGTGGATATAAAAATTAACATAAATTCTGTTATCAAAGCTACGAATCTAGAAAACAGCTTTTTTGATAACTGAATACTGACAGTCTAAATTACAAAGTCCCGATACTTTTTGAAAAAAGAGTTTGCCAGCAATTTATGTGGTAAATAAGTTCTTAAAACACACATAACGTAACGTAAATAACACTTTCATAATTTGAGTAAATTATACTGTCCTATATATTTTATATATAATATGTCAAAACAAATATTATATCTAAACAAAATGAGGAAACTATGATAACTAAAATGGCATATGATAAAATGTCAATAATTAGCATAATTAGAAAGGCGAAAATTTTCTCAGTGTATGAGTTGAGTTACTGGCGTATGGCATAGAGAATCTATATATGTATTTGCACTTTTGTATGTTTACATGACGGCGATATTAATAAATTTTGCTTGTAATGTTTTGCAATTAGAAATATTTTTTCATATTTTATCAATGTTTTTGTTTTTGTTTTTGTTTTTAATTTTTCAACATGTTTTTCAATTAATTCAATAATTAAAATCCATTACACAAATTGACCGTGAACCCGGTGCGTTGAACTTGGCATCAGATGAACCGCTTAGTTAATACCAGAAATGAAAACAACAATCGTAATTAAATCGTCTTCAACATTTTAAATTTAACTAAAATATAATAATAATAAAAAACAAAATAACAACAAAATATGCTAAATAAAAACGCTATAAAATTCACACATTTTAAGCCAAACGGCGCGGCGCGCTGGGATTTACACAAAAAAAAAACGCCAGTCGCTTAAAAAAATTATGTAATATAAATTTTAATAAGATTTTTTTTTATAGAATAAATTGCTAATAAGCGAATATATAAATAAAAACAAAAACAAAGTTCCTATTAGCCAAACACCAAAAACAAATCAAAAAAAGTGCAACAACAACGAAGACTTTTTGAAAAACCGCATGCGATTTGCGTACGGCAATGCAGACTATTTCCTAACAGCAAAATTCGCGTTATAATCGCTTGACGTGAAAACGTTAACTTGAGACACTCTCAGACATATGAGATGGTGCTGAAGCAGCGGATATGGCTTAAATAAAGTACCAAACCGGTTGCACTGCACGCAAAAAGGCAAAAAACCCAAAAAAGAACGCAAAATGCTTTAATTTTTCAAAAACGAAGCCAACATCGACACTTCCACTGGCCCACAAACGGTAGCGCTGCCTTCGCTAATCACGTTTGAGGTTACGACAACTTTTCAGTATCAAAAACGCGCAACAACAGCCACAACAACAGCCACAACAGCGTTAAACTCCACAGACAAAACAAAACAAAAACAAAAACAAAAAAATAGATCAAATAATACCACACAAAAAAAAATAATAATTTTTAAAAATTATTTTGTTAGATGTCGCTCATGTCTATTTTAACCCTTTCAGTCCCATAAATGTTAACATCATTTGATAAATAATTAAATTTCGCTAGTCGCCAGCGGCGGATGGGATCACTTTTAAGTGTAGGCGTTTCTTATCAACTATTTTTTGTAAGTCCCAAATGTGCACCGCTGTGGTTTTAATCTTCTGCAGTGCGTAATCAGTGGAAATTACCGACGACTGACAACCGACACTTATGGACATCTGTTTTTGTTTGGAATTCAATGATTCTGCAAATTGACAGGCACAACATTGATTAAAATAAATGATATTGTACCTATTTTATTATACCCTACACTAAATTAATGAAAACAAATATAACTACACATTAGCACATAATTTCTTATTCCTCTCATTACTGAAATGAGGTCTCAGCCAGTTGTCTTAACATTTTTGAGAGGTGCTTTTAATGGATTCAAGTCTCACATTGTAAAATACTTAGGCAAGAGTCTTTTTTTGAGAAGCCCTGATTTGCCCACTGATTTAAGGGAAGTAGGGTTGCAATCCTCTTCAGGAATTAAACCAGGAAGTATGAAGCAGAAGAAATCCTGATACATACACTATTAGGTGTAAGTATAAGTTTTTTCTGTGTTAAATAAGGTCGAAACTGAGACAAACTGACGTACGTCATATTTTATCATCTCAAAAATTATGCATGAAAAAGAACATTTGCGGAACGCATTGCTTTTCTTATTTATTTAAAAGAAAAAAAACAGTGGAATATCATCTCTTGCTGGTACCAGCATATGAGAAACACGCTTCATCGATTTAAAAGTGGTGTTTTCTATATGAAAGATTAACTATCTTTCGCTATGGTTGATCAGAAAAGTGCGAAAATGAGCAATTGCAGGATGATGATTGTTATATTATTGTCTTTAAGTTATTGGATGATGATCCAACTTAAAGTCAATACAAGAAACAATCAGCAGACTATTACTAATGAACGTCGAATACAATATTCTAAAATCATTTATGAAGTGCCTATTTAACGCCACAAGACGGTATCATTTATATATCAAATTGTGACAGGTTACGAAAAATGGCGGAGCCAGTCTTTCACGACCAAAGCTGAATTGCTCCAAGAAGAAGACGATAATAGATATACGCTGATATAGCGTATATATATGATCAGTTGTCCAGTAA